TCTGCCTATTCATTTTTCACTTACCCTAATCCCTAGTAACCACTGAATTTTTTAGAGTCTTCATATTTTTGCCTATTCCAGAATGACATAGAGCTGAAATCACACATTGTGTGGCCTTTTAAGTTTGGCTTTTTTCACTTAGTAATGTGCATTTAAGGTTCCTCCATGCATTTTTATGGCTTTGTAGCTCACTTCTTTTTAGTACTGAATATTACTCCATTGTATGGAGTTACCACAATGGCTAAATGTATTTATCCTTTCACCTAATGAAGAACATCTTTGTTGCTTTAGTTTTGGGAATTATGGGTAAAGCTGCTGTAAACATCTGTTTACAGGTATTTGTTTGGACCTAAGTTTACAGCTAATTTGTGTACATATAAACGAGCATGATTGCTGGATAATATGATAAGAGTATGTTTAGTTTATGTTTAATTTTGTAAGAAACTACCAAGGCAGCTGCATTACTTTGTATTTTCACTAGCAATGAATAAAAGTTCCTGTTGTTCCACATCATTGTCAGCATTTAGTAATGTCAGTGTTTGGGTTTTAGTCATCCTAGTAGGTGTGTAGTGGTATCTTGTTTTATTTTCATATGTTTATTTGCTGTCTTTGTATCTCCTTTGGTGAGGTATCTGTTTTGATCTCTTGTCCACTTCCTAATCAGGTTGTTAATTTCTTATTGCTAGATGTTAAGAGTTCCTTGTATATTTTGAATACCAGTCCTTTATGAGATGTGTGTTTTTGCAAATATTTTCTCCCAGACTGTGGCTTATTTTCCCATTCTCTTAACTGTACCTTTCAGAGAGCCAAAGTTTTCAATGAAGTGAAATTTATCAATGGTCTCTTTCTTGGATTATGCTTTGGTGTTATACCTAAAAAAAAAATTATTGCCAAACTAAAAATGATCTAGACTGTTCTTCTGTGATATCTTTAGATTTTCATCATTTTACATTTTACATTTAGATCTTTAATCCATTTTGAATTAAACTTTGTGACAAATGAAAGGTCCCTAGATACACTTTTTTTTTTTTTTGCATGTGGATGTCCAGTTATTCCAGCACCATTTGTTGAAAAGATGATGTTTTCTCATGTATTACCTTTGCTTGTCAGAGGTCAGTTGATTATATTGGGTTGGCCAAAAAGTTAATTTTTTTCTGTAGAGTGTCTTTAACTTCATTCAAAACAATTTTGTTAGGTTGTATTATGACAGTTATATTATTGTACATTTAACAAAAATATCAAAATTGGTGAATTTTTGTGCAGCCATTTTAATATTGAAGGTGGAAGAAAATATGCAACATTTTCAGAATATTTTGCTTTTTTAATTAAAAAATAAAAGGTAAAAACTCAACTGAAACACCAAAAAAGATTTGTGCAGTGTATGGAAAACATGCTGAGACTGATCAAACATGTTAAAAGTAGTTCATGAAGTTTCTTGGTACTATTGATATTTTGGCCAAATAATTCTTTGCTGTGGGGCTGTCTGATGCATTGGAAGATGTTTAGCAAAACCATTGGCCTTTATACACTAGAATAGCCAATAGCGGGAGATAAGCCAACATACTCAAAATATTCACATCAATAAAGTTATTGGTGAAGATGAAAAATGTGTCTTATTTTACAGAAAAAACCATATGGATTTTTTGGCCAACCCAGTATTTGTGTGGATGTATTTTGGGGCTCTCTGTTCTATCCTTCTCATCTGTTGGTCTATTCTTTGCCGATACTACACTGCCTTGATTATTGTAGCTTTGTACTAAGTTTAGAAGTTTACTAGTGTCAGTTCACTCTTCTCCTTCAGTATGTGTTGGCTGTTCTGGGTCTTTTGTGTCTCCATATAAACTTTAGAATCAGTTTGTCTCTGTCCATAAAATAACTTGCTGGAATAATGTTGAGATTGTGTTGGGTTGGGAAGAACTGACATTTGACAATATTGAGTCTTCCTATCCATGAACATGGACTATTTTTACACTTATTTAGTTGTTTGATTTCCTTCATCAGAGTTTTGTAGTTTTTCTCTTATAGATCTTGTATATATTTTATTAGATGTATACCTAATTGTTTTATTTTGAGGGATTCTAATGTAAATTTGTTCATAATTTCAGATTCCAGTAATTAATTGCTGCTGTATAAGAAAGCAATGGACTTTTACATGTTAACCTTGTACTCTGTTATCTTGCTATAATTGTTTATTATGTCTGAGGGTTTTTTTGTGGTTTTTTTTTTGGTCAATTCTCTCAGATTTTCTACACTTGATCTTAGCCAAAAGGCCGAGAAGCGATCTGTCAGATTGTCTACAGAGACAATCATGTCATCTTTGAACAAAGACATTTTTATTTCTTTTCAATCTGTGTACTTTTTACTTATTTTTTTGTTTGTTTGTTTTATTGCCAGAGCTTCTGTCACTGAGCAAAGTGAGGCCTGTGCATGTGGCCCCTTGATGCACAACCCAACAATTGGTATTGGAAGCAATAGGTTTTTATTTACAAAACCAAGGTGAAACCTTGGAGGGGGGAGCCAAGAGCACCTCTGCTCAGAGCCTTGTTCTCCCAGAAGATCCATCACTTCCCTTGCTCTCCAACACACTATAAGCCAACCAGGCCCAGTAGTTTTCCACATTCTTATCTGTTCTTAAGCTGGCTGAGCAAATAGTTCTCCATCTCCTCTGGAAAGGACACTCGTGGGTTTCAAGGTCGCCATCCTCCCCCAGCAGCTCTCCCCTTCAGGATCTGGTGTACATTGTCTTTAGCCTCCATGTGATAGTCGAGGAAAACATGTGTTATACTGTACTGGGTCATGCCGAAGTCTGGGAAGGCACAAGTCCAGAGAGAGTGGCTTTTCCATATGTCCCGAGTTCCAAGAGTCCAATCAGAGTCCAGGTCTATGAGGCAGCAGGTCACTGTCTTGCAATGCAGAGTCCTTGGTGGCTTCAGAGTCAGCTAGAACAGGCACGATTTGAGCAGCAGCGTGCCATTCTCTTCCTCTTGGCTGCTGCCGCCAAGTCCCTCCTGGCTCATGGCTACTCCCCTTTCTTACTAGCCCAGGCTGCATGGCTGAATGTTCAGAGGAATAGGCATAGCTCCTCCCTCACTATAGGCAGCATGGCTGAATCTCTCTCATATGGCCACCTTCTTCACTACAGACTGACATGGCTGCTTGTTGCTTTCTCATTACCCCATGGCAGACCAGCCCCCTCTCTCTCTTCCCACCTTATTTTAAATCCTGACCTAGAACTTCCTATGTGACCTCCTATTCAGCTCCTCTACAACGTGCTACATTTGCCAGTCTCCCTGTACCATTTACATTCTCTTGGTTGCCATCTTTAGTCAGGGCAAGGGTTCCCATGACACAGGGGCTTCTAGGGAGGCCATTCCCTAAATGCTTTCAGAGTCCAGTAGACACATTTTGCTGGGGGCTGTAGCACAGCTGTTAGCTTGCCTTTTTGTTATGCAAAGTATCTTAGGCTGTATCATTCACTCCCCCCACCCACTGGAAGGGGTTTGTGGGGATTTTTCTCCTATTTTCTGGTGACCCTGCTTTGCACCCCATTACACTTCTAGTATAATGTTGAAAAGGAATAATGTGGGGTACATCTGTACCTTGTTTTTAATCTTAGAAAGAAAGCTTCTCATTTCTTACCTGTAAGTATATTAGCTATACATTTTTTTGTAGATGTTCTTTACCAAGTTGAGGACGTTTCCCTCCATTCCTAGTTTGCTTAGAGTTTTTCTCATGAATGGATGTTGGATTGTGTCAAATACTCAGCATCTATTGTTACAGCATGTGCTTTTTCTTCTTTAGCCTATTGATATGATGGTTTGCATTAATTGATTTCAATCGTTGAGCCAATTTTGGGTAGGTAGAGTAAATCTCAATTGGTCGTGGAGATGGACTAGGATGGTGGTGGAGAGAAACAGAAAAATGGAGCCTAATGATCTTGAGGAAGAATCAACAGGACAGGATCTGTTTGTGAGAGAGGGAGGAATAAAGAACAATTCCCAAGTGTCTGGCTCGGAAAGGTGGATTATACTGCCATTTAGCAAGATGGGATTGACCGCGGGAGGTTCTGGCCTGGGGAGAAATCAAGTCCTAAGGTTTCACAAAGAGCTGAAGGTAATAGTGTGATCTGGCATTAATTTTGTGGGGTGCTGCCCCTCCCTGTGACGAAAGCCCAGTCTCTTGGCCAGTCTAGTCTTGGTGTCCAGCCTGAGCTCTTCTGTTTCCAGAGCAGATACATTATACAAACACTAGACGCAGGGCAAAGAGTCTGTTTCTGGTATAGAGATCATGGATGTGTTTCTCAGCACCCTTCTTGTTAATTTTTCTGGGGTTCTTTTTATTTACAGCTTCCCTGCTTGGCTCAACTTGCCTCCAACAGCCACTTGGCATGGCCTGTGGTCACTGAACTGGGACTTAGACCGTTTGCTGCCCTGTTCATGGTATCACCAGGTTCTTCTTACCTGCTGTGTTCCTTATATGTTTTAGCATTTGGTTTGTGCTTTTCATTGTGTAATGTGATGGTGGGGACATTGGATTCTAGCTCCTGGGTGATTTTCATGTTGGGCCAATGGGAAAAGGAAAGCACTTGGACTTGGAGAGGGGAGGGCAGAATATGGGAAGAAAGTCTTAATCATTGTCATGATTGACCCCTAGTACACTAGATACATTAATCCTGGGTTTGCTGCCTCATCATTTACATTGTTGATTTTTATGTCCCTAGAATGTACAGTGCTTTTACTTAGCATGAGCATACTATGAAACTCTTGTTTTGTAGGCATTGAAGACAAGCAAGTCATTTTCTGCATGAAAACAGTATAATTATTAGAGAAATGATTACAAAATGCCAAAATTCCTATCCTTGATTTTCTTGCATTAGTTAATTCAAGGTAACTTATGAAATTTCAAAGGAGAGTTGACATTTTCAGAATACTATTCAACTTGGTTCCTTAATCACAGGGATGTCCTTGGCTCAATATTGCTTGAGAGGTTTCAAAGTGCTTTCATTCTCGACAATTCTTTGGCATCAGGTGTGCTGGGTTTAGATTGCTGCCCAAAGGTCTCTCTGTGGGGAGATAAAACATAAAGAATTATACTCCTAATGTGTCAGCTGGCTGCAGGCACAGGCTGCGCCAGCCAACACACTTGTCTCCCCGACCACAGCCCTTGCTCTAAGGAGGAGATAGGGAACAAATCAGCCATGGGAGCCCCAGAGGTTGTAACTGGGTGATTGTCATTTGAGCTCTTCCAGAAATGAATGGATGGTGAAGCTCCTGGTAGGTGAGGGCACCTTCATGTGGAGCCAAGATGGAGCCTATTCAGAAGCGGCAGGGCCCAGAGATGGATTCTGGTGTTGGCCTTTGGGCCCAGAATCAGGCCACTGCTGAAACCAACACTGTATCTGGATGTTGGGGAACTACAGTTTTGTTGTTGCTGTTGCTTTAAAGCAGCTTGTGTTGTGCTTTCTGCCATTTGTAGCTGAAATATAGTTGACATTCCTCTGATCCAAGTCCTTGCTTCAAGGCTGACTTAGAGAGGCTAAGTGATGTGTCCAAGGCCACTCAGAGCCATGGAGTATGAGAGCAGGAGGTAGGAAACCAAACACTGAGGCAAAGGCTGATTTTATTTCACTCTCCACTCTGGTAATTCATTTGGCCACAGATATGGGACTTTTGGGGGTTATGTAAAAATGGGACTGTACAACTTCTGATTTTGAGCTAACATGAAAGAAAATTAATTTTTTTTGGTTGGTCTAAACCATACTCATGAAACATGTTTATTAAGAATGGAACATGTAGCCCTGACCAGTGTGGTGCAGTTTGTTGGGCATCGCCCCACAGAGCGAAAGGTCGCCTGTTTGATTCCCAGTCAGAACACATGCCCGGGTTATGGGCTCCATCTCTGGTTGGGATGTGCGTGAGAGGCAACTAATGGATGTTTCTCTCTCACATCGATCTTTCTTTCTCTCTCCCTTCCCCTCTCTAAAAATTAATAAATAAAATCTTTAACAAAAGAAAGGAATGGAACATCTAAGGGTGATAGAGATTTTAAACTATTTTACTCTCTTGTATGTCTTTCCTAGTTCCACCCTCACCATTTACTGTTTTCCTGGTGAAAAATTTAAATAGATATCTATTTCTCCTATTTAAAAAAACATTTTACTTATTTTTAGAGAGGGAGAGAAACATCAATGTGTGGTTGCCTCTCTTGTGCCCCCTAATGGGGACCTGGACTGCAACCCAGGCATGTGCCCTGACTGGGAATTGAACCAGGGACCCTTTGGTTCACAGGTCAGCACTCAATCCACTGAGCCACACCAGCCAGGGCTCTTTTAAGTTTTTCAAGAATGAAAACCTCCAAGAGGAGGAAAAGGTTTGTTGCCCAGAAATGTCACCAGTTTCCTGCTTTGGCTGTCTTGGTGCCGCCCTCTCACCAATTCCTATTATCTCTGTCATCTGGATGTGTTTGGGACACTGTAGGGAATCTGCCTCTCAGCCTCCCTGGTGTGAAGCACTGGGGCTGCTCCTTGCTCAGGCTCCAGGCATGTGTGCACTTTGCGAACCATCTGGGCCTTGGATGCCACCACCTAGACTCCTAAGGGGCCTTCGTCCTGGTACACCCTGGATAATGAGTCACAGTAATTTGGAGAAGCAGCTAAACTGCCACATTCTCTTCCCTGAGGGCTCTGAGGAGTTTGTTGGGTGCTTGCAGCTCACAGGCCCATCCTCTTCTGTCTGTCACCCAGTGGGATTCCTAGGGAGGGTTGGCCAACCCCCCTGCATTGACCTGGGCAGCCCCTGGAGGTTGGGTGTCTGTACTCACAGTTTTTGCATTCGGTGAAATCACTGAGATCAATGTCACATGATTTTGCTTCTTTCAACTGTGAATGAACCACCAGTTAGGTTTGCAGAGGAAGTGCAGCAGGCCACCTCCTCTTCTCCTCCTCCCCTGTCCTCCTGTCCCTCCTCTTCTACTTTGGGGCCTCCTTTTTGGCAGGACTGCTTCTCTCCCTCCCCCAGCCTGAGGCACTGTCCTATCCTATTGCTGGGGTCTTTTGGGCCAGAGGGGTGTTGCATCCCCTGGCCTCTGGACCCCTGAGGGCCAATGTGTCCTGTGCACATCTCTCTCAGCCTCAGGCCATATCTGAAGACAGGCTTCTTCCTGTCTTCTACCTGATGACAGATTTTTTCCATGGTGCCCTCCCCTTTCCTATGACTTACATTTTCTTGCAATTTAACTGTCAGCAGTTGAGAAATGATGTCATCCAAGGGCACAGGGACAGAAAGAGGCAAAGTATCTGTGACCCTGGGAAAGATACAGGCAGAGAGTTGCATGATTTTGCATTTCTGGATTTCACCCAAACATTGGTGATAACCCACCCATTGATGATATAGCTGCAGTGATGTCCTGCTGCTTAAATTTTGCAACCACCTGAGCCGTTTCACCTTTGGTTTTCGTCATGTAGGAAGATGCAAGGATATCTGGGAAAATGACCAAAGCCAGGCATCTGACGAGTGTTCCCACATGGAGGGATTTATCCTTCAGATACTGTGCACTATGGTGAGCACACTTGTGTGAGACCTTACATATCAGCATAGGGTACAAAGCAAGTATTCTTCATTAAGGGACTAGTTAAATAAATTATAGTGCATCTTCATAAAGGAGTTGTAGGTAGAAATAACATAAGCTATTTATTGATGCATCTGATTACAAGGAATTTTTTAATGTGAAATGATCGGAGTATAGGTATTACATAATACCTACTCATTTCTGTGTTTGTGGATATATGACTACATTAGTTGCCTATGCAGGTAATATCTCTAAAAGCCAAAAAGAGGGACTGGATTCATTGGTTGATTCCAGGGACTGTACATGGTGGGTGGGAGACCTCACTTTATAGCTTTCTGTATCTTTTGACTTTTGATCCATGTGAATGCATTGCTTATGCAAAAAACTAGAACAAAATACAAGTGTCCTTAGTAGGTAGGCTGCAGGCTTAGTAGGGGAAGGCTGTTCTGAAACATAGTAGGCTGTTCCCCAGCAGAGACCCCTTTCTGGGCCTCTGTTGATTGATCATTGAAACCATTGTGTTGGTTGAGCTAATCTATGAGGTTACCCCCCTGTGTACCAGTGGGGACCTTCTGGCCACTGGCCCTTGATCTAGAAAATGAGAAAAATATTCTCACATACGTCTTCACCAACTGAAGGTACACTTTGTTGACCTTGATGTCAATGTCCTGGACTTGGAGGTTGACACATTGGGTGCTGTTTGTGGAAATCCCAATTTTCAGAGTCACGTCCCCATTCACTTGAAATCCCAGGAGGCTGATAACAGGTCCTACTAGGCTGTGGACAACAAGACACAGGTGAAACCAGACCTGGCTGCAGGCTATTGCTCAGCCAAAGCGGTGGGCATTTTGGGAGTGAGCCTCATGGGTGTGTCCAGGTTTCAGAGACAGGGAAAGGCTGGTGCTTCCCACTGAGCATGACAGTGCCCTGTACACGGGATTCAGAGCCTGGTTCATGGCAGGCATTGCATTAAACACTGAAAAATCCCTCTCCTGGCCAAACTTCAGGAAGTCTTCTTTTGCCAGAGGCACCAGGCTGCCTTGTATCTAGCTGCCCATTACAGGTTCACATTTGTGTCTAGCACCTGGGCTGTCTGTTGTGTGGGTGACAGCATAAGAAAGACCCTCCATATACCACAACCTGGTCTTATTAGCACCAAATGTTCTGGAGAAGATGAATGGCTCTTCCTGCCACTGCTAATTGTATTGGTCACAGACATGTGCTCTGGAGGCAGAATGCCTGGATTCAAAGGCTTTCACTGCCATATGTCAGCTGTGTGACTGTGAGCGAGGTTTGTAACAGGTTTGCTGGTCTCATTTGTTTTCCTAATCTTGAGACAGGGCCACTTTTCTGATGAGGTTGTCAAGAGGTTTCAGGAAGGTGAGTGCCTAGTTAAGTGCCTGGGTGGAGCTGGGTCAGTGAGAGGTATGTGTGCTGTGTGTGTTAGTACAAGGAGTCTTCTTCTTCCCAGTGTGGATTCCTGCCCCTCCCTGTCTTCCCATGTACCCTGGGCCTGTATGTTCACCTGTTCTTCCCCCACATGTTGACTCTCACTGACAGGGACCACTGTTAGTCATCCCTCTGTGCCCAGCAGGGCATCTGGTATGGAGTAGCATGTATTAACTACCTGTTAGGTGGGTGAATGAACATGTGCATGCAGGCATGTTTGTTTGTTAGCTTCCTGAGTGCTATTAAACATCTCTGTCTCTCCCAGCTGCCTAGGACAGTGTGTGTAACAGTGGGCTGATTCTCTTTAGAGAGTGCAGGTTATCTGGAAGGTGCACTTTCTGAAGTTCCAGTGTTATCAGTAGGAGATGCACTCAGTGGTTTCTGTGTGTGTTGGCCATCTGTATAAATGTGCATATCTCACAAGGAAGTGTGTATTTCTGATTGGCTAATGCTCTTTCAGGGTGGAGCTTTCATGGGGGCTGCTGTGCCTGGTGCCTAATGTGCTACACCCTCAGACATCCTGCCTTACTCTGTGCTGTCTCTGCCTGGCCCTCAAACACTGGATATTAAGGTCCTGGTCCAGGCCAACCCAGCTGATTGACTTGGAGACAGTCTCACCCTTTTCCACCAATGAAGGCAGTAGTTGAGGCTTGGACAAGGATCTCTTGGTCTGTCATCTCTGACATCATGTCCTCCACCGTTGCTTTTTGAACCTCTAATCTGCAAAGTGACAGCATCCATGGTCAGTTCTGCCTCAAGATTCAGCCTGAGCTACAGGAGAAATGCCTTTGAAGCAGCCAGTTAACAACCTACCAACCCATCCATGCCCTGGATTCCCCAGTCTTGTTACCCACCCAGTTCTTTAAACTCAAGAAAGCTTGCTCATATTACCCCACAAAGGGCAGAGTTTTAGCCCAGAGCTGGAATATTGCTTAGTGAAAATGTGGTTGTCTCTGTCCATGGGATCTATGATGGAAAGATGAACTTGAGTATCCCCAAACTTAAGCTTTCTCATGAGCCATACCTTAGGGTCAAGGAAGCACTTACCCCAGCAGGAGATCTTTCAGGTTAATATTTCCGAGCAGGCCCGAGAGTGCATCACTGATGCCACCCGGCACCACACTGTTCAGTATGCCCTCGGTGGATTCTGTGACCTCGCCCACTGTGTTGAGCACACCACTCAGGGGTTCACTGACTTGGCTGAGCACACCACTCAGGGGGAGGTTAGAGAGGAGAGAAGAGCCAGCTTTTCTTCCAGGATCCCTCTTTGCACCATTGGATGATAGGCTTCCCAAGATCCCTTGGGCCAAGGGTATCAGGTTACTGACAGCATCAGTAGCTTTTGAGAGTGATGGCAATGGGAGATTAGAGGACTTGCTGCTGGTCCCCTTGTCCTGGGGACCACTCTGGCCACCACCACCAAGGATATTGAGGGGGGAAGTGAGGTCTAAGAGAGACTGCAAGTCCAAGTTGGTTACTGTTTCTAACACTGTCCCAAGCAAACCAGCCAGGTCCACCTCTGCACACTTGAGCATCTCCTCAATCTGCGGGGGCAGAGTGCTGTTCAGATCTGAAATGGTAAAGAGACATGTTCTTACCATTAGCTGCCCAGCTGGTTCAGCCAGAGGAGCCTTCCCAGCTGGAGAGCCAGCACCAAAGAGTTGTGGGCCCATAGGCGCTATCCATTTTGCCTTCTGGACACACCAGTCCCTGCTCTGCCCACCCCAAGGATAGACTGGCCACTTAGAAATATACTAGTCCCCATTAAGAGTTAACATTTGTTAGCACATTCCTGAGGCTAGCCTGGTATGAGTATGTTACTCTGAAGTGACGGGCATAAGTGAAAGGGCCCTGTTTAGCTTTTGAGCCCAGTAGCCCAGAATATAACAGACTAGGCTCTGTGCCCTGAAGGCCAAGTGACCTGAGTCAGGGTCTTCTCTTTCCTGAGCCACAGTCTCTGCAGCCATCTGTGCGTGTATGATGGGGCCCACAGTGTGGGTCACTGGGTGCTGGATGAAATGAGAGATTGCCTTTTTAAGTGCTGAGTAAGGAGGTAGGTGAGGGAAGTGTTGGTAGAGCTGACAGTTCTGGAGTCTCCTGGTCTCTATCTGGGTGAGTCTGTGCAAATCCCTTCTCTTCTGCCCTTGTGTGTCCTTGGGAGGTCCTGCCCTTGACACGCTGCCTCTGCTGGGCCTCCTGCATCAGCTCTCGGCCTCCTGCAGCATTATTCTAGGGAGGGTGGAGCAGGTATTAACTATGGGTTTTTCTCCACACTGGAGAGAAGCAAGTCAGGGAGAACTGGAACCTCAGAAGATGGGGTGGGGAAGGGAAGGGTGCTCAAGAGCCAAGTAGCAGAGCTGTGAAGTCATATGGTTCTATCCTGTCATGCTGCTCAGAAGAGCTTGCACAGCTGGAGGGTAGACAGCCTTGGCTGCCTAGCAGGAAAGTGAATTGGGCTGAGGGACAAGATTCCTGGCCCAGTAGAGTAGCAGGAGGAAGAAGTCTGGGGGTATCAGCTCCCATCAAGCTGCTGGGCCATGGTTTTTGGAGCCTGTCCACTGCTTCCTGTGCTCAGGGCTCCTCAGTCTGGAGGACCTTTGCCTGTTAGGGTGATGTAGATGCACCTCCATCCCTGGAATGTCTCAGAGAATGTCTTGCACATGTGAACCTGGAGACCTGCACTAGAGTGTTATTGCCTAGAGTAACACACAGTACACAAAAGCAAAGTTAATGTGTAAATCATGGAAGATTCATCAGGTAGAATAATAGAGTGAACTGGACAAAAATTTCTCATGGATTAATCATATCACAAGCATGAGTATGAAGGGAAATGCAAGCAGGCTACCCTTTGGGAAACTTTATAACGTGTAGTGCAGTTTTTAGAATGAGTAGCCATATGATATAACGATAAAGAATTGGCAAGGGAAGAGTGATCAGGCTGGGGCTTCCTTTGGTCGGGAGGGAGAGGAGGCGGGAAGGATGTCTAGCCCAGTAGGAGCCTGGGGGCCATCAGCAGCCCTTTTCTTGGTTTTATTCTTCATGTAGATGTTGATTGCAAAGGTGTTTGCTCTGTATATCTTTTCAGTTTTTGTATGTTCGACAATGAAATTCATCACCGCCACCACCAGACACTGCATGATGGACACACAGCTGTCCTCTGCACAACTGGCTGAGCTTTTCTGTGTATTTGAAGTAATTTGTAATAAGGGAGGCTGGTTAGAGGAGTGGAGCACATGTTCCTAGAGGTAGAGCAGTGGTGGGAGCTGTGAGGCTGGGCACTGACGCCAGCAGGCAGGTGCCAAGTTTCCCTCTGTCACCTGTCCTGTCATGCTGGGAGGCTGACCTAGGCCATGGCTTCAGAAGGCCATTAAGGGATGTATGAGGACTTTCCTGCTGGCCTTTGTTTGCTGATGAGTCCTATTCCATTCTTATTCCCCTCACTGAGTCACTTCTTTGGGAAGTATTATAATTCCTGATTCCTTTGCCCTCTTGCTCTGGGACATTCTGGGGGGACAGAATTCCACATCCTGAGAAGGGAGATTGGGGAGCACCAGTCTAGTCCAGGCTTTTCATGGTGGGCCTGGATTTCTTATTTTCTGGCTCCTTGTCAACCAGGTTGATGCTTTAAGCACTCGTGTGTGCCTGGGCTGAGCTCTGGAGCCCAGCATTGAGAAACTGAGATTTTCTGGCACAGGGTCCAGGTGATGATAATCATACAAAAGGCAGGCAACCATTATTTGCTGGATCCAAGAGTTTCCTTTTCCAGGCTGGCTTTGATGTGTGCTATACCCAATATGTGGACTGTGACAAGCAGCCTCTGTATCATCTTGATCTTACTAGAAAAGGAATAGTTCCCTGACTGGGGAGTTCAGTTGCTCAGGGTGTTGTCCTGATATGTCAAGGTTGAGTGTTCAGTACCTGGTCAGCCCACATACAAGAATCAATCAATGAATGTGTGAATATGTGGAATAACAAATTGATGTTTCTGTCTCTCTCTCCCCCCTTCCTCTCTCTCTGTAAGATCAATAAATAAAATTAAAAGACCAGTACTGCCGTGGTGCTGCTACAGCAGAAGGTCTGGGAGTGCGCCTGGTAGCTCTTTTGTTAACAAGCTTTTGAAGTGATTCTGATACCACCTCCTTTTTGAGGACAATTTGTTCGGAAGGAATAACTAGCCTTTAGTCTTGGAAATGAGAAGCACGTGTGAGGGGTGTATAACTTAAGGTGTTTAGGTAGAACGGGTCTTACTTACAGTCATTGAGTTTGCTGCTGGACGTCAGTTGGTTATCCACAGGGGGCGTCACGGGTGGACGTTGTCTAAAGGAAGAGCTTCCTGCAACTGGGGGATATCTGAGGAACTGTCCGGATTGTAGAATGGGTCTTCCTCCAGAAAGATTTGGCAACCCAGAAGGAAGGCTCAGCGGGTCAACTGCTGCTGCCTGGGCAGCCAGTGTGATGACCAGGGCCCAGAGGGTCAGCATCTTGGCAGCCAATATCTGCAAAGGAGGGCTTTGTCAGACTCCATATTCCCAACCGATCAGAGGGCTGCCAGTATGTTTGTACTGGATGTACTCGCAAGGTCCTAGCTCTTGTAGGAGGGTGCCATTCCCATGAGAGGTATTGTGGTTTGCACAGTGTACTCAAGGGACAATGTTTTAGCACATGGCAGTGAATATCTCAAGAAGGGCTTCCACTGACTTCTATTTCACTTTTGCATAAAGGTGTGTATGGGCTGGTGGTACCCTTTGAGTACAGGCCACATCCTTCCCTGAAGGGTCCCACATTCTCCTGCCAGTCTTTGACTCAAACATCCTTGGAGTGGTCTGAGTCACCCTCTGGGGAACTGGACAGTGTTGAGTGATCCAGCTACAAGTGTTTTGTCTCCAGTGGTGGTTAAGGCCTCTCCCTGTTTCAGGTCAGGTAATATATAGTAGTTTCTTTATTGGTGTGAGCTTATCAAGGCCCCATTGTTTTGTGGTGTATGAACAGATATCAGCTGCTTTAAACTCTCTGCACAAGTCAGAGAGGGGAGCCGGTGTCCTCATTAATCAGGTGGTGAGACTTGTATAGAGCAGGCAGTTATGCTTGCCTGTGCCCATTGTCCAGCCCCCTGGTAGTTTGGCCTGGTCAGGACTAAACCAGCCAATCAGTCATTCCTAGGCTTGGCACCTGGTACCTCTTTGGTTATTGGGCTGTCCTGTCATTTTACCTCAGTGTGCAGAGGCCAGAGTTGTCTTTCTGCGTAACCAATTCAGGTCTACTCCGTCTTTTTAAGGACCATCATTCTGTTTTGGGAAAGCACTGGCATGGTTCAAAGGTGGCATTAGCCAGTTCACACTATTGCACTAAGTATTTGGTATTAGTGTTAGTATTGGTATTTGGCACTAAGTGGGCTCCCTGTGTGCAAAGTGAATGGTTGAGTTAACCAGGCCATCCACCTGCTGTGGCCCCATCTGTGTGCAAGGCAATGTGTGGTCCTACTGACCACTGGCCATGTGGCCTTTTCCCTCAGCTGGGGCTGAGCAGCCATAACTGGAGCACTTGTGTAAATGTGTGTGTCAACTCCACCTCTGTTGGTTGGGTATGTCCATACATATGCACTTACTGAGTACTGGTCAGGGTGCAAACATGTGTAGTGTCTTATATGATCCTCCCAGCAAGTCCAGGCCCTCGGCAGTGCTATTGCTCCTCTTTCCAGCAAAGGCACAGAGCTGGCTTCACTCCCAGGCAGGAAGGCCCGTTTGACTCTGAGCTCAGCTCTGTGACTCAGTGGAGGTCCCTTCCTTTCCTGACTGTCAGAGTCCTCCCTTCCTGTGACTCTCAAAGTCCATCTGTTTCTAACACTTTGGGTGAGGTGGAGGCTTGTGTCTCAGGGCCTCTTCCCTCAGTGAAGCAAGTAGTCTCTGGAGTTCTCTGTTTGGATTTTTTCCTCCAGACCAGTTCTGTAAAATGGGCCTTGTCAACCTTTGTTCTTGCTATGGGTATGTGGGCGCTGACCACATCGAGCTGCCTGCCATTCACCAGCATCACCAAAGAGCCACTCTTGCAGAAATGTTGGCAAGGACATAATAGGAAGCCAGTGACAATCCTTCACATTGAGCAAATTAGGCTTTATGAAAAAAAATCATCACATTCTCATTATTCACTAATTTTATGCTCATCTGTGAGAAATTGGCATTTATTGTCTCAGGTGACATGCAAGTATCTTGTGAGGAAAAATAATAGAATTTTGTGCCTGTGACTGAGTTGATGGCAGTAGTAGTCTAAAGACACTGTTTTTAGTGGGACCCTTTGAGAATCCCAGTTACAGATCCCCGTTTTCTAAAAGCAGAGGCATAGCTGGCAATGGTGACAGCCGCCGCACTCGGCAGAGTGCTGTGTCATTTCAGCAGGGAAGGGGCCTGGCTGAAGAGATTCCAAATGCAGACTCTACTGTTGAATTTTGATGAATCTCCTATGCTTGTTTCCAGCTCCCAGTTTGGACCCGTTCTTTCATGAATTTGGTTCAGTGAGTTCTTACCTTGTCCAGTGTCGATGAGTCAGCGTTGATGGGTGCACGTTTGCAGAAGCTGCCTCTCCTCCTGCTGTCGTCTCGATGTGTCAGATGGAAAAGCACATCCTACTTTTATAGACCAGCATCTCTTGGGAAAGTCATCGGGCGTGAAGACGTGTGATTCGAGTGTGCTGATAAGGGTGACAGGATACAGGCTGATTTCCAAGATCAGTACCTGCTAATGGTTGTGACATTTGTCTGTGTCTCTCTGAGAAATGTTCATGGTGCCTGGAACTTTTTCAGAGGGGGCATCCTGGCCAAGTCCTGTCTGCTCCCTGATTTCAACCTTTACAGGCCTGTTATCTCTGAGTTGTGTAGAGGTGGTTGGACGGCAGAGTAGAGCCGTCTGTAAGGTGACAGGTGCCCCTCACTGAGAGCCCTTCACCTTTACCAAAGGTGCCAGGTGGGTCTGTAGTTGGCGCTCAGCACTGAATGATGAAACTAGTGTGGGGACCCAAGGAGAGGACTTGGGGTCGCTTTGGACAGGGTGTCTCCTTGTTAAGTGACATTTTATGTCAGGTGTGTATAGGAAGTGTCCCAACGTGCAAATATTTGGGAATGGAGCGACAGGTGCATGAGGACTGGAAACGTACAGGGCGTCTGGAGTGGGTGAGAGCAGGGCTGTGGGCCTGGGGGGGTGTCAGCAAGGTTGCTCCATGATGAGCTCAGCCCTCTTTCCTTTCTGTGCTGGGCTTCCTCTCACGTATTCGTTATTTATCGGCTCCTCAACTCCTGGAGCCCATGCTCTGGGCCTCAGGCTTTCCCCTATTGTAAAGGGCTATTCTCAGTCATCTGTTCAGTTCCTACCACTGGAAGTTTTGTCATTTTGTACACCCTGTCACTATCCTGCTGTGTGGTGTCATCACAGCCTTAGAAAACGATAGCCTGGGAGAGGGAGATGATTTTGACCAAGCACATGGTTAGTGTCTGCTTCTGCTCTCTTGGAGTGGGGGGGGTTGGTTTGGGTCCCTGCCTGGAGCAGGCTCAGCATGTTTGCTGCCTGGCCCGTCCCAAGCCCACTGTGATTCTCATGCTGTGAACCTCAAGTGCAGTTCCAGTTGCCAAGGGCCCCATTATGGGCTTTGCTGAAATGTCAGCTGCGTAGAACAAATGGCAGTTGACCTTTTCTCAGGGAGCAGAACCAGGCGTTTTCACACGTGTTGATAAGTAGGAGACAAAACCCACTGTTCTGGGTCTTATTTCTCTTGGACATTTGCGGAAAATTATGTGATCCTGTAGATGAAATTTGTGACACCCATTTGTGGGTGTGGCCCTTGCTTTTGGTGTTGTTAATGGTTTCTCTGGACCCAAAGAATGACCCCAACTTCAGAAGTGGGGAAAGGAATATCCGGGGTGCAGCCTTCGATGGCCCCTCGGGGCTTCCTGGTTCCTTGTCTTTTTGTCTGTGCTTCATCCTTAGGAGGCGGGGCAGCCGTCGAATCTGCTAATCCAGGACGCACATGAGGCGGTTTCTCAGAAGGTGGCTTAGCAGCTGAGCAGTAGGGCTCCCTTGTCAAACCCTAAGTGATTTGACCTTCTGACTCTTAAGAGAGGGGGTCCTTTCAAGGCTGGCCAAGGCTTGGCTGGCATCCCAGTTGCTGGTGATAACGCAGGTGCCAATTCTTAATGGCTTGTGGGCGACGATATCACCTTCGGCCTTTTTGAGCTGTGGGTGTCCTGGTTCAGAGGCAACAAGATTTTGACCTTTCATGCATGTGTCCTTAGTGAGTGTGCACACAGACATTTGTAGTTTTATCTGTGTTTATCTTATCCAGTTCCCTGGAACTCAGCCCTCTGCAGCACTGCTGCCTCAGTTTCCTTCTGTGGCTAAGTCAGTCTTTGCTGTTACTGGGAGTTCACAGGGGCCTTATGCATCAACTGTGTGTTTCTGAGGACTCTGGAGTTGTGTGTAAAATCTGGGTCAATTTTTAGTTCCTAGGTACGTATCTTTCTTGAGTTTTTCAATGAGCCTTGTGTTTTATCAAAGGTGGTGAATCAGAGTTTACAAAGAGGCAGAGTTGCTGTGCACAGGATTTGGGGCCACACTGATGTGTGTGTGAGTCCTGGTTCAGTGTGTGACCTTGGGACAGTAACTAAAGAGGCGACCTTCATGCATTCCCAGAGGGATAAGTGTCTGATGTGCACTTTGTGCTGCTTTTCCTCTGACCGACTGCAGCGGGTTTGTCATTCTCTGGCTACACAGTGCTTGTTGTCAGCACCGTCTTGTGCAAATGCATCAAAACAGCTTCATATATCGTAGCAGGTGTCACCTGGGAGGCATTTTCCTGTTGATTCAGCCACCTTGAGTTTCACATGGAGGAGAACTTGCTTTGCCTGAGATGGAGAGCAGGGTCATGACGTGAAAATCACACTGCAGCTTCAGTTCTAAGGCAGTGGTTACAACTACTGAACGGCTGCAAATGAGCACTCAGAAATGCTTCTCACCCTCACAACAGCCCATCATCACTGTCGGCAGTGGCAGCGGCAGCATCACCGTCATCACCCACGCCCCCTTTTAGTGATGAGGAACTGGCTTACTGAGGTTAAGTTGCTCCTCTATAAAAGTGGCAGAGCTGGGCTTCTAGATGTTCCTGAAACCAGAGCCTTGGCCCAGGACATGCCATTTGTCTTCTTCCACTTGTCCATGAGGTTCTTAAGGGCTGGGGCATGTACATGCCTGTCTTGACCTAGTGTGCAGTAAATGTCAAATAAGTGAATGAATGAACCAGTGAGTGAGCCAGCATCTCTGAGGCTCAGTTTCTCTATGTGTCACATGCCTGCTTCTGCTGAACGGGGTTTATGAGAATCAGATAGGACAGCGGCCCTGAGTGTGTGCAGTGACAGCCACACATGAGGCAGGAGTTCCCTCCATCTTCAGGCCTCCTTTCTCCTGTCTTCACCCCTTTTCAGAACAGCACCGGGCAGAGA